GAACGCCCTCCCACCAGATGTCAAAGAGAAAAATAACTACCAAACTTTTAGAAGACATCTGAAGGCAGCCCTGTCTAGGGAAACTTTTAATGTTTGATAGGTTATTGTATTTTAGTGTTCTGTTGGAAGCCGCCCAGAGTGGCTGGAGAAACCCAGCCAGATGTGCGGGGTATAAATAATAAATTATTATAATTATTATTAAATGAAATAGGGGAGTGGGGAGGGCAGCTGTGTACTCCAACTCAAAATTCTTGGAGGAAAGGTGGGGTATAAATGTAAAATTGATGGTAACGGCAGCCAGACAGGTTATAGCGCGTAATCGGAAAAATGCAGAAGAGCTAGTGGTGAACCAGTGGAGGAAAAAACTGAATAATATTATAATTTTAGAATATCTACCTGTGCAGATACACAGAATGAAAGGGTTTAAGGTCAGCGAGAAAGAGGAGGATTGGTTCGAGAAAATATTTAGTTATTTAGGTAGGCTTGAACAATTTGGGGCAATTAAAATAAACCTTGTGGATGGAGGAGTGTTAACGTATATAAAATTGTACATATGGTTGATTCGAATATGTTATTATTGATAATGTATACCCAATGTATCAGCCGCCTGGGGGGTTTCACTGTTTGTGTTTTGGTTGTTGGTAAAAAATAAAAATTTTAAACCTTTTTTAAAAATGTAAATAATATGTAGATAAAGAGTAAATAAAATCCCCAACGGAAATTAAAGCAGGCATCTGATTTTCAAAGAAAGGGCCGCACGCAAGCCTGGGATTTTATCTACAAGCCTGGTCTCCCCACCCCACCCCCCAAAAAAATCTAAAATGGCAAAGGACAGGAGTGCAGCAAGGTTGGCAGCGCTGGAGGAAGCAGATGCCTCTGCTCTGACCTGTGGGAGGCTGAATTTGGGGGGCCTCCAGAAGAGCAGCTTTTGCACCCCGCTGCTGAGGCACATTCCACATCATGCGCTGAGCCCAGATGTTTCCAAAACAGCATTTTGGGGGGGAGGTGGGGGGAGGCCTTTCTGCAGCCGCTGCCAAGGCTCCCTCGTGCCACAGAGGCGGGAGTGCGCATCCCGAGAATGGCAAAGCTGGAAAAAACATGATCCGGCCAAAGAACCTGCCTAGCGAAGCATCTTGATCCTGAGAGATCAGGCAGGCAGGCTGTGTTAATAGCATAGGGAAAGGCCCATCTAGTCCAGTCTCCTGCTTTCACAGTACCCAACCAGACGCGGGTGGCGCTGTGGGTTAAACCACAGAGCCTAGGACTTGCCGATCAGAAGGTCGGCGGTTCGAATCCCCGTGACGGGGTGAGCTCCCGTCGCTCAGTCCCTGCTCCTGCCAACCTAGCAGTTCGAAAGCACGTCAAAGTACAAGTAGATAAATAGGTACCACTCTGGCGGGAAGGTAAACGGCGTTACTGTGCGCTGCTCTGGTTCGCCGGAAGCGGCTTAGTCCTGCTGGCCACATGACCTTGAAGCTGTACGCCAGCTCCCTCGGCCAGTAAAGCGAGATGAATGCCGCAACCCCAGAGTTGGCCACGACTGGACCTAATGGTCAGGGGTCCCTTTACCTTTAACCAGATGCCCATTATGGGAAACCCTCCTGCAGGATCCGAAATCGAGTCTCCTCTCCCCTCCTGTGGCTTCCAGCATCGTTTCCTGCTTCCAGCCATGGAGGCAAAGCATAGCCTTTGTGGCCAGCTGGCCATTGGTAGTTCTCTCTGAATTTGCCCAACCCTCTTTCAAAGCCATCCGAGCTGGAGGCCATCGCCACCTCTTGAGGAGAGGGAGTTCCGTAGTTTATCCCACTTTATCACTACCCTAAGGAGTCTCAAAGCAGTTAACATTCTCCTTTCCCTTCCTCCCCCACAACAAACACTCTGTGAGGTGAGTGGGGCTGAGAGGCTTCAGAGAAGTGTGACTAGCCCAAGGTCACCCAGCAGCTGCCTGTGGAGGAGCGGGGAATCGAACCCAGTTCACCAGATTACGAGTCTACAGCTCTTAACCACTACACCACACTGCCTCTTTTTAAACAAGAAGGCCTATTTAAAATCTGCCTGGGGAATCTCTCGACCAGCAGAGGTTGGGTTGCTGCATTGTGCCAACAGCCCAGTATCCCACAGCAGTCGTGTCAAGTGGGTGCAGGAAGCCCACAAGTGTGCTGTGAAGAATGCGAATAAATACAGTGGTACCTCAGATTACAGATGCTTCAGGTTACAGATGCTTCAGGTTACAGACACTTCAGGTTACAGACTCCACTAACCCAGAAATAGTACCTCGGGTTAAGAACTTTGCTTCAGGATGAGAACACAAATCGGGCGGTGGCAGCGGGAGGCCCCATTTGCTAAAGTGGTACCTCAGGTTAAGAACAGTTTCAGGTTAAGAACGGACCTCCAGAACGAATTAAGTTCTTAATCCGACGTACCACTGTAATACAGTGATATCATGAGAATCACGGCTAAAGGATCCTTTGGAGGTGAACACACAAACTCTGCTTAGAAACCTTCAGTGAGGGGGTGTCCGGGAGAGACGAGGAGAAGCCTGCTCATGCCCCCACCTGTCGAAACATCCACCGCTCTCCCATGCTCAAACCACTCCCATCTCAGCTGCCTCTTCCCCTGCACAGGTGTTCGTTCTGAGAACAAGGCGTGCAACCTCTATCCGTCGGGCCCTTCGGATCCCTGATCAAGTCCCAACAACAAGTTTATTTTCTTTCTCTTCTCCCCCCCTTTCGTTCTCCCATGTACCAATCCTTCCAGCTCTCACGCCCACGAGGGTCCCTGCTGCGTCTTGACATGTTCAGAGAGCCCTGGCAGCGGCGCAGGGAGCCGGAGCCTCAGATAAAACCAATTGCCAAGCAGATGGCGCAAGATGAGGTTCTGAAAGAACCCTTCGGTCCGTGTTCCCTCTGTCCAGGCTGGACAACCTGCACCCCTCCAGATGTTGATGGGACTCGCTGTCACCCCTGACTGTTGGCCATGCCGGCTGGACATGGAGTTGGTGTCTCCAGTGACATCAGGAGAGCTGCTGTCGCTGAAAGAGACCGTCACTTGCCTTTACTGCCCCTAGCTAGCTCCACCACAACTCTGCCATCGTTACAGGATGGGGAATTGGTGGCCCTCCAGATGTTGCTGGTCTGTTGGCTCAAAGGAGTCGGAGTTCAACCTCTGGAAGGCACAAGGTTCTCCATGATTGAACTAGACCATCACTTGCCTTTAGCGCCCCTCGCTTCCTGCATCACAACTCTGTCATTATCAACCTGTTGCTGGACCATGGACCATGATTCCAGGAGCTTGTGGAAACTGGGAGTTCTGCAACATCAGAAGAGCTTCCGGTTTGCCTTTCTTAAAGCGGACCATCACTTGCCTTTAGTGCCCCTCGCTTCCTGCATCACAACTCTGCCATCTTTTAATGAAGGGAAGGGGACCCTGTGGCTCTCCAGATGTTGCCAGACCACTGGCTATGATGGGCTAGAGATCATGGAAATTGGAGTCTAGCAACATCAGAAAGGCTGCTAGTTCTCCATTCTGGATTTAGACCATCACTTGCCTTTAGTGCCCCTCGCTAGCTCTATCACAACTCTTACCATCTTTCAACGAAGGCGGTGGGAACCTGTGACCCTCAAGATGCTACTGGACTCCCAGATCCAGTCATCACTGACTGCTGCCCATGCAAGCTAGGGCTGATGGGACTTGGGAGTCCAGGAACACCTGGAGACTTAAGAAGCTACCTTTTCTAGCACACTGTTTCTGACGGTGCTCAGCTAAGTGCCTCTGGAAGGCTCACCAGCAGGGAATGAGGGCAATATCCCTCCCTCGTTATTTGTCCCCAGCGCACCTGTCATTTGGAGTAGACTGCCTCTGCCCATGGAGGTTTTCCTTTATTCATTATCGAATGTATAAGAAATTTAAGAAGGGCCCTACTGGGTTATTAGGGACGCGGGTGGCGCTGTGGGTTAAACCACAGAGCCTAGGACTTGCCGATCAGATGGTCGGCGGTTTGAATCCCCGCAATGGGGTGAGCTCCCGTTGTTCGGTCCCTGCTCCTGCTAACCTAGCAGTTCGAAAGCATGTCAAAGTGCAAGTAGATAAATAGGTACCGCTCCAGTGGGAAGGTAAATGGCGTTTCCGTGCACTGCCGTGCGCTGTGTTTGCCAGAAGAAGCTGTACGCTGGCTCCCTTGACCAGTAAAGCGAGATGAATGCCGCAACCCCAGAGTTGGCCACAACTGGACCTAATGGTCAGGGGTCCCTTTACCTTTACTGGGTTATTAGTGTAGTATCAATGTCAATATTCTGCCTTTCCCCAAAACTGGGGACTCAAGATGGCTTGCAAGACAAATAAAATACAAAAGACTAAAAACATACAAAAGACAAAAAAAAAATTAATTGAATTGCATCAAAATTAAAGATAAAACGTAAACAACTACTGTAATGTCTTTAAAATACTGTACACAGCACCCTGGATCCAAGCACCAGAGCACCCTTCCTGCAGTTTCCAGCGTCTGCTACCCAGAAGCATGCGCTGCCCCCAACCAGAGCACAGCCATCGTGGCTAACAGCCGTCCATCGCCCTCTCCTTCCCCATGAATCTGCCCGATCCTCTTTTAAAGTTGACTCCAAGTCACCGGCTGTCGCCACCTCCTCTGGGAGCCGAGTTCCGTAGTTTGGCAAGGCAGGTAGAGTGCCCCTGTCCAGGGAGGCTCTACCAGCCTTGCCTCCCCCTGACCAAAGAACCCATCCTCAAAAGAAAAGGAAAAAAAGACTAGGAAATTTGACACACACACACACACACACACACACACACACATTTCTCCCTCCCTCTCATTTCTTGTTTTCCTTGGAGTCCAGACCCCTTTGCCTTCCCAGCCACTTTTGCAGGAGTTTCTTGGCCCGTCTCCAGTCCGAGCTGCAACAGCAGGAAAGCCACCTCGCCCTGGAGAGAGAGAAAAAAAGAAAACAGGGTGAGGGCACTCTATCTCCCATCAGCACCAGCCATCGCCACCCATTCCCCCCCCTTGTCCTGGCTAGCTGGTTCTTGTCTGCTCACAATATAATCTTGCTCCACTGAAGAGGCAAAAGAGGCAGCAGAGAGGATTTGCTTCCCACAACTACACCACCTTTTCTTTTTTTTAAACAGGGAGCAGTCAAAGGCTGGGGTTGGTTGATTTACCCGGAGAAAAAGGGAGGAGAGACGGGGGGGGGTTGATTTACTAGGAGGAGAGCCCTGCTGTCTTTCCTTTTTTGAGCCTAGCCAGAAAGCACCGAGAAAGTTCAAATCTCCCCCTCTTTCCCCCTCCTCCTCCTCCTTCTTCTTCAGAGTTGGAAATTCTTGCATTTCTAGGAAGCTTGGATCTTTCACAGGAGCTGCGCCGCACTCTGCAAAACTCTACTTACTATAATTGGGTCTTTTCCGCCTCCCCCAAATAATTATTACGCCTGCATATTGTTTTGAAAGCAGCAACAGCAGCTTTTAAAAGTTCCTCCTCGCTCTTTTCCTAGCCTTCTTTCTGCTCCGATCTCTGATTTACTTGGGGATTTTTTTCGGGGAGAGGGGGTGAAACTTTCAATAGTTCCACCCCCACACTTTTAATTATTGACCAAAGGGGGGAGGAAAAAAGTCACTCTGAATGGACTAGAGGGTTCCCCCCCCGGACTTTTTTGATCCCGGTGCCTGGTTTGGAAATAATTTATTTTTCCTCCGTTCCTGAGAAGGAGATAAAAGTTTTGCTGAAGTTCAGGTTGCAAGGAATTGTCTTCTTGTCCACCTCCCCGCAAAAATACCCGTCCGCGTTTCCCTTAAACGTTTGGGATGAACTGGAAATAAACCTTTGGAGGAAATTTGCTTACAGAAAGGCTAGGAATCGGGGCCCACACTTTACTGGATAATGAGCTGTTTTAATTTTTGAGTGCCCCCCCCTTAAAAAAAGAAGAGACAAGAATATTATCTGAGGAAGTTTGATGGAACACCTCTCTGACCAGTCCATTTAATGGTAAGTAACCATTTTTGGGTACCTTCTCTGCTATGATTTTGTATCCCTTCTGGCTCCCTGTGGGTAGCTGAGATTTAGCTTACTTGTGAAGTGTCTTGTGTGACCTGAACATTTTGCCAATTCTGACATTGGCCAAGTTCAGCGACACAAGATTTTCGACCTTTAATGCAGTGTGTGAAACTTGCCGTACGAATAAAGAAAAAAGATCGATATTAAAGCAACTGTTTTTTTAAAAAATGAATATAAAAATGTGGGCTTGTATCCAGCATGCTGCACTCAGTAGTAAGACCCTATGGGTATTGACAAATGTAGGTTCATTAGTTTCAAAGGGTATACTCCTGAGTAGCACTTTGTTGGTGCTGTGCTTCTGAGGTTGATATGAAAAGGCATTAAAAAAACAACAGAACGCACATCTGATTTTAATAATGTAGGTTCTCTGTTTTCCAACCTATCGTAACAGCTTTTGAACATCTGTGGCATGATGCTTCTTTACGAACATGATTCATACATCTCAGATGGTGTTGTGTGAGTGGCTCAGTTGCCCCGTCAGGCTAGAACAGGGAGAGATATGAAAGGAAGTAGGTGGTGGTCATCATTTCAGGACCTTTCTACACATATAATAAAAGTGGAACACAGTCGCCACTTTTCCTCCACCCACCAGTGACGACCTGTGCCGCATCTTCTCTTGCTTGGTGGCCGATGCGCCTATATCAAAGCATCCACAGATTATATTTTCCAGTGGATTCTGTACTGCTTTTCAGCTGACACCCAACCATCCCCTAGTTTACTCCTTAATAGGGAACAGGAAGATTCGGTCTGCACTGAAAGGTGAAACTAGCAAATTTGTGCTTTCCGAGAAAATCTGGTGCAAAGCGAAACGTGTCCGTCCTTCGGAGTTTGCGCTTTGAATGCATTTATTTGATTTTATAAACAACACACAGAGTACAGTCACAGGGTGGCAGGGAAAATAGGTGCAGGATACTAGAATTAAACTCCTTGTGGAACGGTAGATGACAAGTGTCTAGCTCGTTGTTTTCCAAATTTTGCAATGGGGTTCTCCAGCCGAGTGATGCATCCGAGAAGAAAACACAGGCCAGGGTAAAGTGTCTAGTAAAATCCCTCTATTAGCAAAAATCACATACAATTTTGCATTGTATTAGGGAACATTGCTTTGCAAAAATGCACGCTTTAGACAAAACTGGTTGCAGACTAAATTGCTGGTGCAATTGCTTGAGGACTTTTCCCATCCGTCCCGTCCCCCCCCCCCAGGCAAATTGATATGGGAAAAGGTGGTGGGCAGACCTCTGGGAACGGGTTCCTGAATGAGATGATCCACTGGCCTGATCCAATGGCCTTTCTGAAAACGACAAACTGAAATGGACCGATCCAACAGTCCCTGCTCCCTTCGTTAAGTGAGTTTATAATTCCTCCAGCCGGCTAATTCTGGCGAACTTCGTCACACACCTTGTCCCATGTTGAATTGTGGCAAAAAAGCAAACCGTCCCTCTGGTTGCCGCAGAGGGAAGCTATCTCTGGGAATCCAAACAACTCTTTCCAGGCCCGTGACTCAGCCTACTCTTCTGGGGTGAGTAACTCTCACTCCTAGGCGACCAGCTAGAGAGAGAAAGAGGCACACAGAGAGAGGGGGGCTTGGTGAAAGGGAAAAGAATAGTGTTATATCTTTCTTTTTCATCCTGTCCATTTCAAGTGTGGAAGGCAGGCGGGCATGCAGGCTAGTGATCTCTGTGGACTTATTTGCAAGGCTACCTTCATGTCCCCCCTCCCAGCAGCAAAGGCAGAGGTGGCAGCCGTCAGACACCCTTGCAAAGTTTCCCCCCTTCTCCTCCACCCTCCAGGGGGAGCCTGAAATGAAAGCAAACCTGTCTCTCTCTTTTTCTCCATTTATCAAGACCAGATTTTTACGCTTCTCTCTCCCCCCACCACCCCGAATTTCCTCCCCTTTTCCCTGCTGTGATTGATGGTTTGAAAGAGGAGAAATAGCTCACAAATAGAAATCAGTTACAGATGAAGCCGGGGTAGGGGGGGCATAGCTTTCAAGTCATTAAAATATTTCCACCTCCCACCTTTTCCTCTCTCCTGCGAAGAAAGGAGCAAATCCGTGAAGAATCGCATTTTGGAAATTTCTTTTGTGTGTGCCCGTTCTCTGATCAAGTCTCTCTCCCCCCCCCCGTTTTTCTTCTTCTCTTTTTTCCTCAAAAGAGGGGGGGGGATAACTGAGCCAAGAAATCTGAAATTAATTCATTTGGGGTGGGGTGGGGGTGGGGGCAAAGGGGAGGGAGAGGAGCTTGAACAAAGAGAAAACAAAAGATTTCCATTTTCAAAGAAAAGTTAAAAGGTTGCATATGTTCCAATCTGCATGCTTAGAAGTATTTGCTGTCTTGCTGCCATGAGATCTTTCAAAACCAGTTTAAAAAACCCAGTGACATTTGCTTGCACCCCCGTAGAAAAACACATATCTGAAGGCATCGCAATCTGAAGGCATTGCTCAATAATAGATTTTCTTAGTGGGTTTGACTGACAAAAGCAATCTAGGATGGTTTTGAAGGGCTCTTTCTGCCTCCTGACCTTTCTCGTAAAATATATAGTTTGTATTCACATCTTTTCACATCCTCTGACCTCCGGGGCAAATTTTTCCTAAATACATCCACATTACTTCCAGAGGACTTTGCTGGGGAAGTTCCTGTTTCCCCTGAAAAATCCCAGTGGGATGATGAGGATAATTTTATCTTTCTAAATCTGCCCTCAGTTGTATCAACACCCACCCTTTGAATCAGAGCGAAAATGTTGCGGATTAAAAGTTCCCCCAAATTCCTGAGGGCTAGGGAAGATTCAAAGTCTTTCTCTATTTTAATACAAATTTTAATACCCCCCCCAAAAAAATGGGTCCTATGATGGAGTTTCAGCGGGGAAACCCCATTGAAAAGCGATGAGGTTGTAGAATGTTGCGGTGGTGGTTTAGACATCACTCCCGAATTTTCAAAAACATTCCCTCGGTTCAATCATCCCCCAGAGATAATCATTGCGCCTAATTTTGGCTTTCTAGCTTTTGTGAAAGGTGGTTTAGCACGCACAACGGCCGGTTCTTGGGGTTTGCATATATTTATTGTCAAACAAAATCCCCCTAGCACAGCCTAACCATTTTTAAACACAGCCAGCCAACACAACTGGCTTTTGAGAATCTTAATTTTGTGAGGTCAGATTCTGTAACTGTGCTATCTATCAAAAACTTCCCGAAATCTTCGCATTACTGGGTTCAGTTCATACCCCTGGCAAATTACCACTGTGAGCAGGGTACCAGCAACTCTCCATCTTTGTAAGATAATGGGCTTGTACTGTGACTGAAGATAAGAAAGAAAAGCGTTTCTTTGCTATAAAATCTATGCGGTGAAGTCATATGAGTGCCTTCCTCTTAAGAACACAGAAAAAAAATCTCTGCTGGATCCAGGCCAGAGATCCATCAAGTGGCTAGATCACTACCCCTCCCCCCGATCTAGACCCTCAACTTTCCCCCCATAGTGGCCTCTCAGATGCCCCCAGTATTTGACATTCGCAGATAGACTGCCCCCAGGTGTTGAGGCTCAATTAAATGGTCATGTCTAATCCTTGCTGATAGGCTTCTCTCTCCTCCATAAAGGTGCCTAGTCCCACTTTAGAGCCCGCTAAGTCTGTAAGCCACCTGTGCATCATGTGACAGTGAGTTCCATCAGCTGATTTGGTGTCGCACAAACAAGGATTTTCTCGCATCTGCCCTTAACCTCGCTGATTTCGCTTGGGCGGCGGCTTTGAGTTCTTGTATTATGAGAGAGGGCAAAAGCTCTCTTTATTCACGATAGCAGAAAATCTCCGTAATATCTATCCTTTCCTTTAGTCACCTTCCTGCTAAAAAAAATTTAAAGGCGAAAATCAAATGCTTTCCTCTTTTTCCCTCGCAGGGAAGATTGTGCCCCCACCCCCCGCTGATTTCCCCCTTTCTATATCTTAGAAATTATTTTCAGTTTCTTTTTAGGGCAGAGATGGGGGTCCTGTATACAGTGGTACCTTGGATTAAGAACTTAATTCGTTCTGGAGGTCCGTTCTTAACCTGAAACTGTTCTTAACCTGAAGCACCACTTTAGCTAATGGGGCCTCCTGCTGCTGCCGCGCCGCCGGAGCACGATTTCTGTTCTCATCCTGAAGCAAAGTTCTTAACCCGAGGTACTATTTCTGGGTTAGCGGAGTCTGTAACCTGAAGCGTATGTAACCTGAGGTACCACTGTATTGTGCTAGACTACAACTCCCTCAACTGATGGCCATTCCCTGAATTAGACCATCACTTGCCCTCACTGCCCCTAGCCATGCCCATTGTACCTCTATCCTCTTGCAATGCAAACTTGCAGCTTCCCACATATTCCTGAACTACAACTTCCATCATCTCTCCTCACTGTTGGCCTTGCTGACTTAGGACCTGAAGGACCGCACTGGTTCTCCAGCCAGGCCTGGGGATAAAATCCTCAGAGATTGCTTGGTTAGACTGTGCTACCTGGAGGTGCGGCTGGGTTCATGATCCTCTGCTCTCTCAAAATCAACCCATCAGGCACCGGCGAAAGCTTGTAGGCTTGTCCACACAATTCCCCAATGCCATCCTGTGGTTACTGCAGGGATCTCAGGATGAGAGGCCAACATGGACCTTCAGCCCTCTCAGTCCGGCCTTCCCCCAAGCCGTGCCCCTCCTGGGGCCGCACCCCTTATCAACCCCATTCCCCACTCCCCACACCTCCCTTTTCCCTGGCTGGGGTGTGTCCTTAAACTGTGTCAATGCTTCTTGGCCTACCACTGTCTCGTCAGAGTGGTCCATGCCCTGGTCATCTCCTGCTTGGACAACTGCCATGTGCTCTACTATCTTTGAAGGTGATAACAACAACAACAACAACAACAACAACAACAACAACAACAACAACAACTTATTATTTATACCGCGCCCATCTGGCTGGGCTTCCCCA